ATATAAGTTTACCTTGTGATCCAGCAGCACACTCACTAAAACTCAGCTTGATCTATGCTCCATCACCTATTTGCTACAAAAATGGAGAACACTCGCGGGCAAATCCAAATAGTGTTTAGGAAAGTACAGCAGACAGCAGGAAACACTGCAGTGGTTCTACTCCAGAAAACACAAGGACACAGCAAGGTCCATGTAAAGCATGCACAAACTGAAACCTGTTTGCAAACCCCCTCTCCCCTTCACTTCTTTTTAACTACCTCTAATGTTCCTTTGCCTTCCTCATCGTGCTACAGTGCATCCTACTGTTTAAAAATCTCTTTCTGCTTCCATCGCAACCCACATCTATCCTCTGTCTCTCCTTCACTCACTGTTTCATCTTTATTTTCCCTTGCTCTCCCTCTCTTGCCCACAGACTCACTGCACCTGAATTGTACTGTATTTGCAGTATATAGCACTTTTCTAGTCATTTCGACCACCAAAGCACTTTACAATTCATATTCACACACACATTGACACAGTGTTTCTATGCACAGCACTTTTTCGAACACACTTCACGCTGGCGGCACAGCTGTCAGTGGTAATTTGTGGGTTCAATATCGTGCCCAAGGACACTTTGGAATGCAGACTGGATTAGCTGGGATCAAACCAACCTTCTGCTTAGTGGATGAGCTGCTCTACCTCCTGAGTCCAAGCTCCGCATATCATTTATGATTTTTATTCTTTATAATTAAATATTCATTGATCATTCATTTGTCTCTCTTTTCTTTGCCTGCTTTTTATATCTGAGGCTTTTTCGGGAGTACATTGCTGCAGTCACTATCTCTTTCTTAATTTCTTGACCTTCAGTAAATCCTAGTGATGGGATTGTAATCCTCCTAACTCACAGCAGTAAGCCATTTTCTCTCCTCTCAGTATTATGTCCTAAAGAGAGAGAATCTGTCGCTCTGTTTTTGAAGAAAAATAGGATATATGGAGGGTGGAAGGGAGGCCCTGCCCATCCTCATAAAATGGATCTTCAAATGGCTGAAAGCTGAACACAACATGGCCAAACACTCATACTTTCCATCTTTTCCTGGATGTGCAAACAGCTGTCAGGGAGAGCCAGGTCTTTTCCTGACCTCAGAGTTCAGTGTACGCTGCCATCAGAGAGCTTACAAATGGGAAGTTGAGTGGAGTGTTCTCATACCAATTTCCTTCTCTCAGTCTAAGTTTGGACCACTTAGAACACATGTAGGAAACACTAAAATGTTGAGGTGACATCTGAGGTTGTCAAGGCCTCAGTCTTCAGCAGAACTAAGTTTTAGCAAAGAGACTCGGGAAGCCATCACACAAAGCCGTCTGATCTTTTTAGTTATAGGTGAGGTACAAATGAACCATTTGCTTCAGTTTCCTGTTGGAATTAAAACAACTGCAACAAATCTTAATTCGCTGGAGAGAAGCAGTAACTTGCTCAGCTTCCTAACACACTTTCTTGATGATTAGATGACTAAATACATTGTCTGTGCGTACCCTTTAGAATGACGCACAAGACACATCCCACAGATGACTGCCGTACCTGTTATAGTAGTCCTCAGGGTATCTGTCGTATTCAATCTCATAGTCGGATCTGCAGGAAAAAGAGAAGTGAAGGTAACACAAAGCATAGCTTTAGTGCATTTTTATTTAAAATATTAATACAGCTTAAGATTTGAGGTGAAGACCCAGAGCAGACAAAGACAAAACAGATTGATTTAAGGCGAGAAAAAGACGATGATCATGGCCCCGTTTTTAAAATACTTGACGATCAGTAATTAAGAAGCGGTAGCAGCAGGACCGTAAACAGTTTTAAAATGTCTTAAATTCGATTTGAAAATAGAAGGTGTTAAAAAGCTTAGAATTGAATTAAGGGATCATTAGTTCTGGTATGCGCTGCATTATCAGTCTATTTCAGGTTAGTTTTATGCATTAGGCTAATGCCTATGCAGCCAGTCTGATAAATAATTTATGAACTTGTGGAACTGCAAGTTAAATGATTATTTTGAGCCATATTGTAATGACGATTATTTAACACGATTACTCATTGAATTTGGAAACATCACACACTTTACCGATTAGAGTGTTTACATGCCTGAGCGAGCAGCGCAGCTCAGCAGCATGACTCTGCTCCTGTGATGTTATCAAATCCCTCACACATAGAACTGATCTTTACAACAACCTGCTGAATTCACATGTATGTTCATGAATAAACAGGGCGTCGCTTCCTCTGCAATAATTTAGTGAAAACACTGCTTGCGTCATACAGTCTATGGTCCTTATCTGCAGGAAAAAACTTCTGTCTGCAGTGTGTGTGAGTGTGTGCGTGCTCGTCTCTGTCACTCTCCACACAAACTGACAATCACATTTATTTAGTTATTAATTGATGCTGTCAGATCATAAATCTGGATTGTTCTGGTTACTTTAACCCTGATGTCCTGGCTGTGCACATCACGTTACATCTCCTGTTGTATAGTTGGTGGACTGCGTGCACGCAAAATGTTTTTCAATTACTTTAACTTCAAGTACTGTACGTGTACTACTAACTTCTTATCAGGTCAGCGTGGAAAGAGCGAGGACAAGCGGCACAGTAATACAGCACGTTACAAGGATACATTTAGTTGAGTACATAGCCCCACTTTTATTCAAGGAAGTAGTCGTTTTACTTTGTTTTCGTTGGAAGCCATAATCGTAATTGAAATTCAATTCTTCGCGCAGCCCTAATGACTGGTAGTTAAAGCCAGCGCCTTGAGGTGCTGATGAAAGCTGCATGTTGAAAGCAGGTGAATTGTATTAAAAAGCTCTTAAAAAGTTAAATTAACTTTGTTAATGGGTGTAGACACCTTGAGAAAACAGAGTCAATTTCATTTTCAATTGTCAGCCAATACATCGAAACATGCTTCACCTCATTCATTTCAATCAGACCACATCAATGCTGCTGAATGCAACACAATGGATTGGCCAGTCAAAGAATTAACAGTGTATATTTTTACCTTGTCAGTGGCTGCAATGAAAACTGGAAAATCTACTCTCATGTTTTGTAAAGCACTGTCGGCGGCTCCACAGGCTGAACTGAGCAGATGGTATTCAGACCTACTTAGAGCCTCTGGGCAGTTTTAGTAGGTCAACAAAACCACAGAGATCTGGTGCAATTCTAATTTTTACACTTTAATGCTGGGTTCAAACTGTTTGCATTTGAGACGGCCAAAGAACATGTGGCATCAAATGAAGGCTAATTTTTCCACACCAGGCTGTTTCTCCACCATATGACTTGAACATGAACAACCTATGGCAATACAATCATTTATGGATTATGACCATTATGACCAAACTAATCCCTTCCTTGCTTGATCAAAGCTTAAAATAAAAAGTTACGCTGGGGACCTATTTCACCATAACATAAAGACATAACACAGAGAAGATTGAACTCCAACTGCTGCACTATTTATCCACTGGGAAGGGATCAATAACCATCTAACACACACACACACACACACACACACACAGTGCAGACAAACTTTTTAATGCGCCTCTGCTCACTATCAACAAAGCCTCTGTAATAAAGAGAAGACAGGAGGAGATAGACCTGGGCGGCCAGAGAGAAACTGAGGGATGAACAAATAAAGGTAAAGAGAGACAAAAAGGTAACGACTCAGGAAGAGAAACAAGGGATTTGGAGCCGAAATCATATCCTTCTTTTGTAAACAGTTGTATCATCCATCGCTCCTGCTGCTGCCATCATTCAGGACGGATAGAATTCAGCGATTAGCGACAGTATTGACCCGAAGCCGACTTGGTGCTTTGGCTCAGTCATGCGTTTCCAATGAGCTGTGTCGGCGCAAACCTTTAAAACATGACTATTGATCTGCAGGACAGCCCCGCTGTTCTGAGCTGAGATCACATTAACTCTTTTTGGCTCATGCTGCTGGTTTATCTGCTTGATTAGTTCACATATTATAGCTGCAGCTCCAGCTGACAGGACTCTCCTCGCTGTGATTATGGGTTCATCACAGGCGATACAACTGACTTGAGTCTCCAAATCCCAGTTAGAAATTGTCCTTCAGCTGTTTTGGATCTCATATACATACAAACTATTTGCTCTCTTCAGTGGTGCGTTAAGGAAAATTAACTAACCCTCACTTATCCTCCTCATCACCAATGAAAGCTGCTGGAGCTCTTTTCCAAATTGGCTTATTTCAATTCCCCTGACCTAATTTCCTCCTGTTATAGGAATTCAGTGATGTTGTTTAATGTTGTGATCTTGTTGGACTTGGCACATTTAAAGTTATTGCATTACCAAGACCCATTTTCTCCAGCCAGTAAAAACAAAAAGCCTGGCATCCACAGATGTCATGGACAAAGTAATTGGACTTTTATCGAAAAAGGAAAAAAGCTCATGCCGTCGTGCACTATTGAATGAAACCAGGATCAATAGATAGTGTAATGAAGTGATCATTTACTAACACAAACAAAGTGAACTCTGTGTGAGGTTACACAAATGCAGAGTAGATCCTGAAGTAGAATTCATTATCTGCGGACCATGAAACAAGCAAGCATCAGCAAAAGGCTGTTTGATTGTGATCCATCCAGCAGGGGCAGTGGTGAACAGGCCAACACTGTCTTTCCAAGAGCATGTTGACTATTCAGCAGCATAAGAGACAGTTATGGATAAAAGCATCCAAAAGGTAAAAACAATCAACAAGAATAAAAATATGTTATGAAGAGGCGGGACATAACTTGTGAATTCCATCGTGGAGATCACATGTTTTTACATCAACACCCTTTTCACCATAAGCTGTCAAATATTTCAGAGTTAACATCTTTGTGAGATTTTTTTTTTTTCATTTTTTGCTTTACAAACATAATCATCACTCTCTTGCGTTGTGGTGTTAAATAATGCTCAGCACAGTGGGGCTGAACCTTGATCTGTTGGACATAAAATGGCATTAGTTTATCCTGCTAATTAGCACATGAGTTCTTGAGTTGTGGCCATAAACATGTTTTGTGAGGCCACAGTGACCTTTGACCTTTAACCACAAAATTCGTATCAGAATCAGAAGTACTTCATTAATCCCCGTAGGCAAATTCAAAAGCTTGTAACAGGCAGCACACGACTTTGCGCATGCGCACTGATATCTGTCAGTATCAACTCAACTTTGAGTCCATGTCTCTGCCAAATTCCCTCAACAGATAATTGTGTGTGCCAACATAATATCTTGTCGTCATGATTGATTTTACTGTTTTCTGCTACCGTTACAGCCATTTTACATAGTTGCTTGTATCTGATGGGCTCATCACAGGTTTTGTATTTAAAATCTGCATCTGAGTACTGTGTATATATTACTTGTTTCATCATATGTTGATATTTGGGCATATTTGCTCCTTTTCCTTTTTTCTTAATCCAGGTCTGGATCATTTCAATCATGTATCATTTGTGTGTTAGAAGTAACTCGTGCTGTGCCTGTTCTAGACATGCCTGTTTAAAATGGGCTTTTTGTTTGTCCTATGTTAATGCTCTTTAGAAACGTCAGAATTATTGCTTGTAATAATAGTGAGTCTTCCTCAAACAGTTCTACAATTTACTTTCACTTTCTACTGTTTGTCTGCTGGACGTTGTGTGTAGAGCTTTTTCTGAACAGTCTATGATGTGGAGGGAAGTTTGTGTTTATCCTACCTGGTTTATGTGCAGTGAAGACTTTATGTTTGATGTTTTCATCAAATGAAAACTGAATTAGCTTTTATACAACACTATAATATTTTGAAAAATGTATTTACCTGGTGTTATGTTTCATATATTGCATGTGCACTATTTCATAGGTTTCTTAAGTAATCGACTAAATCTTCAGACTGAACTCTTAAAATAAAAGTTATGTAATTCAGATCAGGAAGTGATTTTATGAATTTTGTTGCCGTAAAGGGGATCAACGCCCATGAATGTCTGTCAGTCTGATATGGTGAAATAAAAATAATAAGATTATCAGTCTCTGGTGGCAATTTTGATCAGTGCTTTGACCCAGTTACCAACCACTGCAGCAGTTTATCTAAGGTCTGGCAGATTAAGGCCCCTGTCAAATATTATTTGGAAGATAAGTTCAATACATGGACAAATTATTGTCCAAATAGCAACAAATTTGACACGGCACTTTCCTGGCCCTTTAACAATACACATGTCAGGTGTGAACCAATAAGATGAGCGGTTCTCAAGATATGCAGACGAGAACTCGCACTGCTCTCTGTATCCAGTATTTAGAGGATTAGCCCTGTCAGGCAATCATTCAGCAAGCCAGCACCCCACTCAGACTTCACCTGTCAGCCAGCACCTTACTCTACCACTTTCTTTCATTAAAATACAGACTAATTGTACCTTGTTACTGGTAGCTTTTTGATTCTGCCTTGCATGAGACAAATGCATTTAGAATAACCTGCAAATTATTTTAGGCAAGGCTGTTATCCCTTTAAGGAATTTAGAAACACTAGGGTTCAAGAAATGGAGCTCGTTAGGGGGGGGGGGGGTTCAGATGTTCTGATGATCTCCTTAAGTTAAGGGTGTCATATGTCATTTTGAAGTGCAGAGATAAAATGAAAATATCTCTA